CATCAAGGTGGGCAAACCAGATGCAAAATCGCTTGCCACGTAGGCATGAGACAGCCACATTTCGCCACTCGATGCAGTCCTCAAACGGCAGTTAACACCAGTTAAGTTGACTGTGAGAGGAGGGGCAAAATTGCTCGGATTGTAGAGTTCAGGGGCTTATATGCATCAATTAGAGTCTAGGGGCTTAATAGCGATTCTGGGGTTGGTCCAAGGGCTTAACTTATGGTTTTGCCTTGTTTTTCTTTTGGTGCTATTTGCTTGGTTTGTTCTAGCATCTGGAGTGGATTCTTATTTCTCGCAGGTAAATATTTTTTGCTCTTTGTTTTGAATTGTTACTATTGTGCAGATTTTGGGTGTCAAGAATTAGGTTTATTTTGGGCAGGCATTTACTGTTGATTTAGACAGGAATGGTGGGTTTACATCGGCTGAAAGAAAATCAAGCAAAAAATACCGAGATTCCTTGGATTAGTGTCTGCAAAAAAAAATTTTTTCCTTACTTTGTTTTTTTTCCCCATATTTGGTTTCTTTATTTTCAAAAAAACTCTTACACTTTATTTGGATGGAAAAAGTTGCAGGAAAAAGAGAGAAGAGTGAGGGGATGAAAACTCTCTTCTTGTTTGAAAAAAAAAAAATTAATAGAAGGGAGAGGCATGAATGGAAGACGGAGCCCCCTCTCTCAATCCCTCCGAATCGGAGGGATTGAATTTAATTTATTTTTGTTTTAAATTTTTTATAAAATAAATATATATAAATATTTTATTTTAATTATTTATTTAATTAATAAATTTCAAAAATTTTATTTTTTTATTTTATCTTTTATTAAATTATATAATTAAATAAAAATATTATTATTTCCCCTCGTTTCCTTCCATTCATCTAAATAAAACTAATGTAAACTTTTTTCTTCTCTTCACTTCTCCTCCCTTTCCTTTCCCTCCCTTTCCCTTCCTTCCCTTTACTAATTTGTATCCAAATAGGCTTAGTTTCCTGTTTCGAAGAGCAGAGGGTTAAAAGGATGAGGAATGGGTTTTTGATTTTGGGATTTGCTAGGTAAAAATCTTCTCTGCTCTGTTGCTTTTCTTTTCCCTA